CATCTCTCCTTGCTTCTTTTTGGTCCTGAATCCCCCCCCCTCTCTCTCTCTCTCTCTCTCTCTCTCTCTCTGTGTGTGTGTCTCCCTCTCAGTCCTCCCCCACTATCTCCTACCCCTGCAGCTCTCAACACACAGAACACTATACACGACTTGTCTTTATAGTATTCGTAATCAATTCCATCACTTTGGTGTGCCCAGGGCGAGAGCCACCAGACATAATGTACGCTTTCCTTACTCCCATCGACCGAGCCCAGGAATCTATCAGCAGATAAATGAAGGCTGGGTCGATAAACTCCCAGCAGTGATCACAATTACTGTGTAATGTCCTAAGACAGTTCGTCGACCCGTGCCAAAAGGAGCTATCTAAAGTAGTGGTTCGACAGACGGTGCTCTGCTGTGGTTTACTACTTCCTTCCTATTAAACAGCTGACCTTTCTTCCGTATCCTTCTCTCTTCTTTTCTTTGTACTTTCTCTCTAGTAACACTTCTAATCTTCGGAACTTAGCGGATGGTTAACTTTCCTTCTGATGTTTCCGTCCGTTAGCTTTACTTTTTCCTCAATGATCATAATTGTGTCGGTGTGTTTCTCATTACTCCAACAAGCAGATTCGGCTCTGATATAACCTTTGTTGTGTTACAGGTGCCGTACAACTGTTGCTAAAAATACAACGTTATTTCTACGAGTTTTATAACTTGCAGATACTGCCCTATAGCATTGTTGAGCACGGGGCCATTGAACGTTCGAGTTCGTCGGTTATAGGCACAGCTTCACAGTTCAGTCCCTGAACATGGACAAATTCTGACCTGTGTCTCTCTGCTGCTTCCTGATAGTCATGTTTCTGGTCTATTTTTACTTTATTATCCTCCCCCTCCCTACTCTCCCCAACAAATTCACGCTCACATTCTCTCTCTCTCTCTCTCTCTCTCTCTCTCTCTCTCTCTCTCTCTCTCTCTCTCTCTCTCTCTCTCTCTCTCTCTCTCTCTCTCTCTCTCACCTTACATAACCCTATAATCTACTGAAGGATTTTTGGAGCAGCCTCTGTTTTACTCAAAGAAAGCGTTCTCAATAGCATGACCTCAGAACACTCCTGGTCAGTTGGGATAGAAGACCATACGAGGGTTACATCAGTAGGCCTACATGAAAGTAATAAAATATGCCGGATGCAGCATTGGTAGTTAGCAAAAATACGCCAACTGAAAGCACTACAGTGCAAAATTAAAGTGCTCAGCATTGGTTGTTGGCTGCCCCC